GTTTGTTTGTTTGTTTGAGACAAGGCCTTGCTATGTAGTTCAGGTTGGTTTGAATTTGTGGCAAGTTTCCTGCCCCAGCCTCCTGAGTTCTGAGATTGCATGCCTGGCTCATGCATTACATTTATAATTTCTGAATGAAAGGGGATTAAGGAGAGACACAAAATAGATTTGACATTTTAACAGATTATCCTTGAGCTTTACAGTAGATTCGAGGTAAATATAAGTGAACAAGACAGATGTTTTGTTTTCTTTGTGTTGGTTATATTCTGGAGGGGTGTGGCTGGACACAGCCCTGTGGGGAGAGTGATGGGAAGACAGGTCTGTGGGACCTGGTCAGGACAATCATCTGAAAGCAATGAGATTACTGTGATCAAATATTACAAATAGGGGCTGGAGAGATGGCTCAGCAGTTAAGAGCACTGGTTGCTCTTTGCAGAGGACCTGGGTCCAATTCCTAGCACCCACACGGTGGCAAACAACCGTCTGTAGCTCCAGTTTCAGGGGATCCCATGCCTTCGTCTGACTTCCATAGACATTGCATGACCCAGGTGCACATACATGCAGGCAATACACTCATACACATAAAATCAAAGTGATAAATAAAAACTTAAAACCTTTTTTTATTTATTATTTTTATTTTATGTGTATGAGTATATTGCCTGCATGTATGTGAGTGCACCTGTGTCATGCAACACTGCAAAGGTCAGAAGAGGGCTCCGGATTTCCCTGGAACTGGAGTTAAGGACGGTTTGCAGCTGCCATGTGGGTGCTGGGAATCGAACCCAGGTCCTCTGCAAGAGCAGTCAGTTCTCTTAACCGCTGAGCCATCTCTCCAGCCCCAATAAAAATATTTTTAAAAAATTACAAACAATTGGGGCTGGAGAGATGGTTCAATGGTTAAGAACACTGGTTGTTCTTGCAGGAGACCTGGGTTTGAATCCCAGCACCCACATGGCAGCTAACAACTGTCCGTAACTCTGATCCCAGGGGATCCAACAGCCTCTTCTGACCTCCTCGGGCATTGCACGACACTGGTGTACTTACCTACATGCAGACAATACACGAATACACATAAAATTAAAAAAAAAATAAATTAAATTAAAAAAAATTACAAAGAGTTATTAGGAACTCTTTCTGGGTTTTTTTCTCCCAGTTTGCTTTAAAGGTGTAAGTATAAGTAATAACAACACTTAGCTCCACCCCCACTCTGGCCGGGTTGTGACTTGTTTAGACTCTCTTCCCTGACCGGTGGACTCCACATGACTCACCAAAGCTCTGCAAGTATACAGCCTGTTTTCCTTATTGGCCCTACTCCCAGGGCAAACGTCTTCTTCAAATATTTTACTTCTGATCTAAAATAAATTTTCATAATCTAAAGTGTTTTCACTTCTGAAAAAAAAAAAAAAAAGCCCGGACACCGACCATCTACAGCCCTCCAGGCCTTCCTTCCATCCGCTCACTTGGAAAAGCCGTTGCATTCGGTCATTAGAGATGTCCCGAGCTCCTCTTTCTCCTCGCCTCCTATTTGTGATTTGCAGTTATGGGAATGATTCTCAACTCTGGCTGCCCCTTAGAGTCCTGTGGGGAACTTAAAAAACTAAGATACCAGCCCCACCCCAGACCAATTAAATCATATCCTTGGGGGATTAAGATGCTAAACTCTATGGCCTCATTCATTATCTCTATTACCTTTGCAATCTGTCCATTTGTTCTGGCTCCTAATTCAGGCCCTCATTACCTCTTAGTATTGCTAATTAAACAGGATGTTCATTGTTCATTCCCTCTCTTAATTTCTTAACAATAGCAGTGGCAGCAATACTGATGGTGGGGTGGTGTGATGATGGTAGGAGAAATGGACAGTTAGTGAAGACTTACTTTGTTCTAGGTACAATGCTGAGCTCATTACAACACATTGGCATTTCTGTACAACTCTATGACATCAGTCCTCTTCTAATCCCCATTTAATAGATGAGGAAACTGAGGCAAAGAGAGATGAGGTAATTTGCCTGAAGCCTCAAAAAGAGAAAGAAGCAAAGGAGGGCCTAAACCTACTGTGTTTCACAGAGTCCAGCACAAGCATCCTCCTCCCCAGGTATCTCAGGTCTTCCTCCTACACACATGTACCTCCCAGGAATCTGCATGACTATAAAGTTGATAGATCTTCTCCTAATCCCTAGAACTCCAGGTTCATACTACGGGGTCCCCCCGCCATGTGTTCCTTAAGCCTTTTATTTTTTAAACATTTAACTTCAAAAATATTACCTTTCTTTCTTTCTTTCTTTCTTTCTTTCTTTCTTTCTTTCTTTCTTTCTTTCTTTTTCTTTCTCTCACTATCTGACATTATCTTCAGAAAATTCTCTCTCTCTCTCTCTCTCTCTCTCTCTCTCTCTCTCTCTCTCTCTATTGTATGTGTGTATGCACACATGCCATGGTGCGCTAATGGCATTCAGAAGACAATTTGCCATAGTTAGTTCTCTCCGTCCACCATGGGAGTCTTGGGAATCAAACTGAGGCCATCAGGTTTGGTGGCAAGCACTGTTTTTCTGATTCCCCATATTAGAATATAGAGTATGATAATATATAATTTACTGGAAATTTGCCCACTATCTATAAAGCAATGTGCACCAACCATTCAAGTTTCCCTGCTCTTAGACAAAATAAGGGGCTCTGTTCTCCTACAGGGTCGCAATATGATATGCACAGTACTTGTCTGCAATGGCCAGATGACTGGCAGCTGCAACTGCAAGTGTAGAACCTCCTTGAGAGTTTAGGAATTTTATATACTTTTTTCATCACTTCAAGAAAGTAAGTGATGAGCAGCTGGTTTGTTTGTGGAAAAAGAACTAGAAAGAAGAAGGGCCAATACTGAGCATTACTACAGTACCCACGAGCCCAGGGGTCAGAAGGTAGTGAACACTGTCAGATGTCACCGGTGCTGAGGCAGCAGGGAGATGACTGGATTTAGCTACTAGATGGTAGTTTGAGGGGCTGAGTTCGGCTGCCGTGGATTGGTGGGGAAGAAGGTACGACAATGGAGGCACGAGACACTGGGTGGGAAACGTTAGAAGGGAAAGATGGAAGGGACATTCAGAGCTACGTGTCAGTTTTAAAGGGGAATCGTGCCCTCTAAAGGGAGGCAGCAAAAGGACAGTCTCTGGAAAGAGCAGAGGACAGCAGCCCTGGCATCTTGGGGTCTGCTGCAGAGGGCTGATGGGGGCATGCCACAGGGTGTGGGAATAGACTAGAGATGGGAGACAGTGAAAGAAAGCTGGCTGGGCTGGCAGGGGACAGGCCAGGTTATGGTGAGGTGGATGGGGGCTAGATGTCCTCCACTGTGGCTGATTCAAGCCACTAGAGGGCACCTGCACCTCGTGCGTCTCATCCCAAGTGGGTCCCTGGGAACCAGAGCCAGCACCCTGGACCATTCATGGCATGACTGTACAATGCTTTGGTGAAAGGACACCGAGCCTGCAGCTAGTGATTCTCATGTCTCAGGGTAACCTGCCCTGTTACCTACACAGTCATTTGAAAGCCACACACGACACTGTGTTGTAAACTACCAAGGGCTCTGTCGCTCAAAGCTGGTTCTGTGCTTACTGGAAACCACATGCGCTCACTGTACATCAACTTATAATCTATGTATATCTTCTTTCTCACAGCTAGACTCTAAGCTTTTCATGAGCAAGGATTATCAGTATATCTTAAAATGCCCTGTGTGAGAAAAATAATATACCTGGGATTTGCTTTAAAATCAGTGTGGTAGGAGGGGGAATGTGGGTCAAGGGACCATGGGAGCTCATTACATAGCAATGTTCTACTCTTACATCTTCAAATTTTTCCATAATAAAGTTTCAAAAGTTTTCATGTATCCTTAATGCTTTCTCCCTAGCACAGGTGGTAGTAAGGAAGCCCTAGTTCTGTCTGTAAATTGGACAGATTGAGACAGGTGAAGCTTCCCTATGACTCCGAGGCTCACCTGGCAGGATGGACACCTGTTAGCTTGGCAGACATTGACTCAAGAGCCTAAAGTCTTGGAAAACGGAATGCAAGGCCTATATTCCAGCAACATCTCTTCTATGCTTTGGATTTCAGTTGAGTGTGTCAAGAGACGGCAAGAAGCCCTGCTGGGACCCCACTGCTCTTGTCTCCTAGGAACCACCCTCCCAACCGCAGGCTTTGCTCTGAAGCCCAATGTTGCCACAAGACTTGGCAGAAAATGCCCAGCTGCCCCAGGCCATTGCTCATGTTTTAATGGATGCTTTCCTGAAACAGCTGGTAAAGAAGAGTCTCTTCATTGCAGCCTTGCAGCTATGAGGGAGAAGAAGAGCTGGTTCTGAATGAGTACCAACCGACCAGAAAGGACCCTTTGCCCACGGGAAGTGCCAAAGGATCTGAAGCAGGTGTCCAGGAAGAATGAGGGTTAACAGCCAGGCCCACATGTCTCCAAACAAGCATTCCAGGTGGTGCATGCCTGTATGCCGACGTGGAGGAAAAGGTTGTGGGGGGAGGGTGTCCAAGACATAACCTCTTTATTGACCCCTGACTGCTCACACTGAGTACCATGGTTAATTTTTGTTGTCAACTTGACTGGATTTACAATCACCATGGAAACATAGCTCTGGGTGTGCCTAAGAGAGGGTTTCTAGAAATGTTTAACTGAGCGGGGAAGACTCACCCTGAATGTGGGAGGCACCATCCAGTGGACACGATCCCCGGACTGAACAAAAAGGAGAAAGTGAGCTGAGCACCAGCATTCATCACCATCTGCTTCCTAACTATGGATGCTTACAACTATGACTTCTCCACCATGATGGATGGCACCCTCGAACTGTGAGCCAAAATAAACCCTTCCTTCTTTAAGTTGCCGATATTTTGTCACAGCAATGAGAAAGGCAAGACACCGAGAAAACAGACCCCATCAGCTTCTGGAAGGTAGGAAGGTGCCAGAGGCAGGGGTAAGGACAGTGACAATGGTGCTTTAAAAAGTCAAACAGACTTACCAAGTGTGCTGGAGATGGTGACCTTGTGTCCTTGACTGTGGCACTGGAGGGAACGTCAAGAAGGGGCCATTTCATCTGCAGGTACTGCACAGGGGACAGAAAGCACAAAATAGCAGGTGAGATGAGGCCTCTCAAGTGCCAAATTTAGCAAAAAAATGGGCTCTGCAAGGAGGTCACCAGCCATACAGGAGGCCTGCAGCAGTTATAACCCCATCAGTTAGGGTCAATCACTTCAATGGCCATGTGATTCTAATACAGCACACATTTATAGCCAGCCTGCCACCATCATCCCCTCTGTCACCATGGTGGGGAGCATAAACAATTCAACTGAATTCCAAGTGGGAAGGGAATAGATACATTCCAACATCAACACCTTCAAAGAACCTATCTGCAAGGCTCAAGCCCTCTCTGCTTTAGCTGTGGGGCAGGGTAGATAACTGGAGAGCAGAGACTCCCAGAAGGCAAGCCTGCCCAGTCCATCTCCATCTCCATCTCCTACAATGCTCCCTAAGAAACATACCTGGGATTGTTTGGTGAACAATGGTTAAAAACCACTGGACTGGGGTGAGAATGTAATTCAGTTGGTAGAGACTTGCCTAGCATATACAAGGCTCTAGGTTCGAGTCACAGCACTATATAAACCAGTTGTGGTGATGGCATGCCTGAACACCAACTCTTGGAAGGAGAGGTAGGAAGATCAGAAGTGCAAGGTCATCCTCAGCTACAAAGCATGTTTGAGGCTGATCTGGAATACACAAGACCCTCTCTCAGAAAGCTGAGTGAGACCCTGTCTCAAAAACACCAAAAAAAAAAAAAAAAAAAAAAAGTTGAGTGTGATGCCTACGAGGCCAGCCTGGTCTACATAGTGAATTCCAGACCACCTGGGCTACTGGGAGACCTGTCTCAAAAACAAACAAACAACCCCGCCCCCCCCGAAAACCAGAACAAAACAAAACACACACAGAAACCCCTCCCACTTGCCTTACAATCACAGGGTCATGGGTAATTATCATGGGTAATCATTTGTTTGTTTGAGACAGGGTCTTGCTTGCCAGTCCTAGCTGGCCTGGAACTCACTATTTCGCCCAGGCTAGCTCTGAGTGCTTGCATTACAGGTTTATACTACCATACCCAGCAACCTATTCATACTCAAGGATGCCGATCTTTTTTTTTCTTTTTAAATATTTTATTTATTATTTTTATTTTATGTGTATGAGTGTTATGCCTGCATGTAGGTAAGTGCACCCATGTCATACAATGCCCATGGAGGACAGAAGAGGCTGTTAGATCCCCTGGAACTGGAGTTATGGACAGTTGTTAGCCATCAGATGGGTGTGGGGATTCAAACCCGGGTCGTCTGCAAGAACAGTCAGTGTTCTTAACTGCTGAGCCATCTCTCCAGCCCCAGATGCCGATCTTTTTTAAAACAACTTTTTGGATGTATTTATTTTTATTTTATGTGTATGAGTGTTTTGCCTGCATGTATGTAAGTGTGTTGTACAACGCCCTCAGAGGCCATTAGTGGGCATCAGATTCCCTGGAACTGGAGTTATGGACACTGTATGGGTGCTGGGAATCAAACCTAGGTCTTCTGCAAGAACAGCTAGTGCTCTTAACTGCTGAGCCATCCCTCCAGCCTCAGGGATGCTGATCTTTCATTAGTATCTCTCAGTCTTGAAAAGATCACTCAGTATCCTACCCTATGTCATGTGCCATTACAGAAAAAAATTTATAGGAGTAAATCTTTTACACACATGTGCACACACATTCTTTAAAGAAAAACCTTCCTTCAATACTGGCATGGCGCAGTCTAGCAGGAGGGAGGCTAGGGGAAGTAGGGGACCCTGGGTTTGGAGTGCAGCATCCCTGGGTTAAGGTTCTCACTCAGCCAACGTAGGTTGTGACCCAAGACAAACAACTTAACAACTTGGAGTCTGTTTAGTCACCTGTGGGGCAAGCTATTACGACTAACTTTACAGGTTATTAGAAGGAACGGGACCACATCAGGTACTGAAGACTGCCTCACACGTGGGAGACATTTGATAAATGGCAGCTATTATGTTCATAAGCAAACCATTAGTCTTCGCCAGGAGCAAAAGCAAGCATGTTGTCCTAAAGTCAACATTGACAAGGCGCTTCTGGGCAGCTGACCAGCGGGGCAGCCTCTTTGAAGACTTCTTGCAACTACCTCCAGAGCTAGTGCTCTACTAGGACTTGGTGGCTCTGGAAGAGTTTCACAGAGGCAAGGGAAGTCTCTGAATCATCATTTGTTCTGCTTACTCAATTTTAGGGGGGGAAAAAGTCATGATTAGCTATGAGGAGAAAGGTATTCTTCATCAGTCACAAGTCCTTGCTGAGGGGGCAGGGGTGGGGTTTTCAAAAAGCTGTCCAAAAAACTTGGGGATGTAGCTCAGGCTGGTAGAGTGCTCACCTAGTATGCATGAGACCTTGAGTTTGATCCTCAGCTCATAAACTAGATGTGCTGGTGCACACCTGTAATTCCAGCACTCAGGAGGTGGAGGCAGGAGGACAAGAAGTTCAAAGTCATCGTTGGTTACATACCAGATTTGGGGCCAGTCTGGGCTACATGAGACCCTGTCTCAAAAAAACAAATAAATAGGGTCAGGGAAATGACTTAGTGGGTAAAGGTACTGGCCACCCAAGCCTGACAACCTGAGTTTGACCTCTGAAACCCACACAAAAAAAATCTAGACAGAGTGGCATGTACCTGTAATTCCAGCACTCCTATACTATGAGATGGGAAGAAGAGACAAGAGAATCTCCCAGAAGCTCTAGAGCCAGCTAAGCCTTCAGAAATCAGTGCAGTGGTAGAGATGAGACCCTGCCTCAACATAGTAGGTGAGAACCAACTTCTGAAAAGCTGTTCTTTGACCTCTGCATATGTGCCATGACATGTATACCTGCACACTCTCATAAACACAACAATAAATAAATCATTAAAATAAAATAAAAAAAAACCAAAAGGTACCCTCAGGCAGGAATGAAATCCAAAGACACATTTGCCGGGAAATAGTATGTGCAAAGAAAGGGCCAAGCAGGTCTGGTGGGCAGCAGGAATAAGGGCAGATTTTTTTCACCCTGAACCATCTGGACCCTCTGGACCCTCCATCATATAGCACTCTCATGGGATTTAACCCTATCCATGTCTCTTGCTGATCGTCTCCCTTCCTAATCTATCCATCTCTTGCTCTACTCAGAACCTATTTTTACCAGATGGATTAAGTGGGATTTTGATGCCTTTGGCAAGTACAATATCCTAGACAAATATTGCTATCATTAGTTAAAACTCCTCAGGGGTGTTCTGTGTCACAGTGGCAATTTTCAAGTCATGTTAACACACAGAACCCAGTATAACACACAGAACCCCTAGTACCAGTAGGGGACACTATACTAAATTTCCAATGAGTTAATGGACACGGGCTAAAAGGCTAGCCCAATGGAGCCAAAGCCTGGGTCTTGGTCTTTTGACTTCAAATCTCACTCTTTTCACTATACTATAATCATGAACCTGTTTTCTTTTCATGTGTATTTTTTGTGTGTGTGTGTATGTATGGCGTGAGGCTGACATCAAGAATCTGCTTCGATCACTCTCCACCTTATTTGTTGAGGCAAGGGTGTCTCAGTCGAGCCCAGAGCATTCCAATACAGCTACTCTATCTAATTAGCTTGCTCCAGGAAATCTCTGTCTCCACCTTCTGAACACTGGGATTACAGGTGGGCTTATGGGAATACCTGGCATTTATATGGGTTCTGGGGATCTGAACTCTGATCCTCATGCTTGCACGGCAAGAGCTTTTCCACTGAGCACTTCCCAGCCCATCATGAACGTCTTCACAGTGCGAGTCTTCAGCACTTCCTTTGTCCTTGTTATTTCCCTCTCCTCTTCTATCTGGTGGTCCTCCAGAGGCTGAATGGATATACAGTTATCAATGGACTTGAGGTGGCTAGAGCTTATGGCCGAGTACCAAACATTTGCTAGAAGTAATACCCTGAATATCTGTCTTTCTGAATAACTGAACCACAGTAACAAATATCAGATACTAAAGGGAAATGTCTCAACTATGCCCCCCTCCCATCACGAAGCACAATAAAACTGTCTCTAAAATCCATCAGCTCTACCACTATCTGTTTTCCAATTTAGAGTCATAAAACACTCTTACTGAACAGTCTTCATTCTTGTTGACTGTGCCAGAGATGTCTTTAGATCATATGGGAAGTGACTCAAAGCTATTTGAATTCTAATTTGGAACAATGCTAGGGTTTGCAGTCTTAAATAATCCTATCAGACAGTGTTTTGGGTTGTCAGGCATAGCTGGCTTGTAGGACTACAACGCAGTATTTCTCAGCTTTGGCATTAATTCCCTAACACTTTGGGATGGTTAGCTTTTTGCTGAGGAAGGGGAACTATTCTGAGATATTAGCAGCACCACTGGCCTCCATCCACCAAACGCTAGTAGTCTCTCAACTACATGTAATAATCAGATATGTTTCAGGCTCAAGGCTACAGAAATGGCTCAATGGTTAAGAGCACTTTCTGGGGGCTGGAGGGATGGCTCAGTGGTAAAGAGCACTGGCTGTTCTTGCAAAGGACCTGAGTTCAGTTCCCAGCAACCACATGGTGGTTAACAACCATTCATAACTCTAGTTTCAGGGGATCCAACACCCTCTTCTGGCTTCCACAGACACTGCATGATGTACATACTGGCAAAACACTCATATACAATAAATAAATAAAAATTAAATAAATAAATAAAATTAAGAAAGAGCTCTTGCTGCTCTCACAGGGGACTGGGTTCAGTTCTCAGTACTCATATGGCAGCTCACAGCTCTGTAGCTCCAGTTCCCAGATATGTGGCATCCTCTTCTGGCTGCCACAGGCACAGGTATTCATGTGGTCCAAATACATACATGCAGGCAGAACATTCATACACATAAAATAAAAAGTTTAAAAAGTTTTAGACTTTGCCAAATGTCTCCTGGGGTGGGGATGGAAGGCTGCATGCTGTTGAGAATCACTGTTCTAATGACCAAGGGGTTGATCCTCAATCACATGAGGATTCCAT